CTCATATCTGACAAACCGAGGGGCATCCAAAACAGCCATGTGGGGGGGGGGTCGCCTTAAAAGCGCCTACCTTCTCTGGTCCAAACAAATCCAGAGCATTCAGGAGCAGAATCTAAAGTTAGAAGGAGGACATACTGGCTGCTGCATTGTTGTCAGAGAAGCCAGCACTTCAACATAGCATGTTTCCTTAATGTCTGATCAGATAGTAAGCTCACTTTATCATTTCACTCTCTACATATTCTTACTGATTGGACCTTTAACACACACACATTTCCCCACAAAACTAAACAGCTTCATTTTTTTTAAATCCTAAATGTAACTGAACTAGACTCTTAACAAGGTGACATAAGGAAAGGAGACTCAAAGAGGTGTGACAAGGCGTTGGTATTTTACCGTTTGGGATCAGAGGGCAACACCACACCATTTGGACTACAAACTGTGAGTAGCTTGGAGCTAATTAATGGAGAATACCATATGGTGTCATTTGATCAGCATCCACTGAATATCTCCACAACTCTTTCCATTTAATACTTCAAGTTAAACTCTTTGACCTATGAGTCTGGATTTGGTGGTTGAGGGAACATCCTCCTCCCAGCTGGGAGTCTCTGCAGAGTGTATGTTTAGGAAGAGATAATTGAAACGTTGAGGCAGCCATTTTAAATCAATTTATTTAGCAGAAAAAGCTCCAGTGCAAAGACAGTGATACAAATAAATTGATAGTTGATAAGCCAGAAAGGTCCCGAAAAACACATCATAGCCAACAAGTGATGATCAAGGCTGCTGGAGATTTACTTGCTTTTACCACTGCACCATGCACCATGCACCATGCACCATGCGTCTGTTTGGAGTGTTGGCTGTGCATGTAATCAGAACAGTAATGCCACGTGGTTGCAATATGCAGTATGTACGTGACCAGTAGAGGGGATGTAAGAGGGTCAACAATGGCAATGAGCAAGTCTGCAGTTATTGACATCTGTACGACATGTCAAAGACAAACTTGCCTTTCAAACTAACTGGAGATGAATTAGTTCCAGTGTTTTATAATCAACATGTCCGAACTGTAACGTTAGCACGCGGAGGAAAGACTATTAGTGTCCTCCTCCAGTTACAGGTGAAGTGACTAGCCAGGATTGTTGACAATTACATTCCTTGACGCAGACGGTGGTGTATGCAAACGGAAGGTCAAAAGGCAAATATATATCTCCAGCCAGTCTTCAAAATAAATGATCCGAGTACAAATATATAAAACAACAAAATACCCAACAAATCAAAAGAATCCCTTTTACCTGAGTTAAGCTCTGTGTCCACCTGCCGTTTTTTCCGGGCAGTTAAGCGCAGGCTGTGCGCTGGTAAGCACTGCACGTCTGTCCTGTCTCTATGACAACAGCTGTTTGGTGCCGTTGCACCATACAGCTGCTCCGTTGCATTTTACTGCATGTTTTATATTTGAGATTGTTTATTTCCCGATCAGACACGGAGCGAGGAGGATGTGAGTACAAGACGAGATCCTTAGGCAGACAGCGCCTTTCTGAGGAGTTGAAAGATTTTCAACTTGAGCTTGCTGCTGCAAACGCTCTCTACTCATTGAAACAATGAAAGAAAGACGCTCAGTGGACACAGGGCATTATGTTTCAGTAAGTCAACATAATAGATCAAAGTTTAACGTCAAGGCAACAAGAATACACCAAGAATATTTCTGTTATGGCTGATCATCATTCAGCAAGCAGTAAAATCCTCAAATATTGACAGGTCTCAGCTTCACAAAGGTTGTTGTTTCAAAGTAAACGTGATCCGATTAAAAAAAAAAAAAAAAAGTTTTGATGACTGCAAGTGGCCAAAAAAACAAACAATAACTGCAGACTGAAGTAACCCCTGAATCGATGATTTGTGAATTTAAAAGCATAAAAGCATGTATACTTTGACAACAGAAACACTTCACATCAAAAGAAAAACCCAGAAAGCAAACAATAATCACAGAATATATAACGGCATTAAAGAGGAAATGAAATAAAAGCAGGTTACAGCTTTGGACTTTAAGATACAGTAACATGTTAAAACTGATTTCTAGTCATACCAGAGTTGTAAACCAATTTTACTCTTATCATAGCGTAAAAAAACCTGAAAGATCGGTTCTGTTCCCTTTGGCGACCCCTGTGGTTTGAAGCTGTCATTGCAGGTTTGATAAAGTGTCTGTGTCGACCGTTTTCTATCTTTGTCTGATCGCTAACTTTGTTTCTTTCATCTCATGGTCTATGTTTGTTCGGCCTTGGTTGGTTTTTACGAGTGTTGTAGTACTCGAAATCGGTCAAGGTCTCAAGACTACTTTTTGAAGGTCTCGTTCTCGTCTCGGAATCTCGGTAAGACTGGGCGTACTCAGGATTTTTAATGAAGACCACCACTGACAAGCTATTTTTCCACATCATCATTGGGATTAGAAGGAAAACGGCTCTTTTTAAAAGAACAAATAACTTTGATTAATTTGTAGTTTGATTTTGATCGCCCGGTTACGGCCACAACCTTCCCCGTGTCCCTGCACACAACATGATGATTTTTCATTGATATTTATGATGTTGGTCTTGACTATGTCTCGCTCCCTTATTGTCTCGGTCTTGTCTTGGTCTCGGAGCACTCTGGTCTTGGGCATGTCTTGTTCTAGGCTTGACTAATGCACTAGATTTTACAGGCCGTTGTTCCACACAGCTCTGTTCAATTATCCTGCTAAAGACTTACTCACTATCGCACTTTATGGTTTGTTTCAATATAAAGGACATTGTGAATAAAATGTATTATTATATATGTTATTATTATTATCTGTGAACACAGAAACTCTATGAGGTACCGTAAAATCCTGTATTAACACCAATTTTTCATCTAAACGATTGGCTGCGTCCTATACAGTGATTGGACTAATACACAGTACAAAACGCTTACGCACGCCATCATTATCACGAGTGCAGCCGCCACCATGACCCACTGCACGCCACCTGCTGCAAATGAAGATTAATCCCCATTCACTGACACCGACTGCGTAACTTTTTTTTACATCTTTTCTCCATCACGTGGTCACAATCATGTTCTGGGTTGATTGAAAGAGTCCTACAATAAAGTTAACGAGTGATCAGTGGAGGTGGGCAGCGTGACAACCTGCCTGTGTCAACCTAACGACAGGCAGAAACTTGGAGCTGAGGCGGGTTTAAGTCTCTTAACAAACCATTACATGTAGCGTGTAGCTGACCTGTCAATCAGGACAGCTACACGCCTTACAACGGATAACACGTATCGTTTATAAATCAAAACGAATGAAGCGTGAGCCGATCGAGACATGAGCTAATCACACCTATTTGGTTTTTGAACCAGGCTGTAAACATATTAATCTCTGCTGTAAAAACAGGCTTTTTAGAATGGGTGTGTATGTGACTTCCTGTGCTTCTGCCACCAGCCTCTAGGGGACACTCAAGGAACTGCAGGATTTTGCACTTCTGCATCGGCTTCATTTCTCAATACCCTAGGTAGCCGCTTGGTCTGTGGGCTACTTCACAACTTTCATCGTAGGATGAGATCTGAAATAGCCTACCGTAGCTAGTAAGGGTGCAAACAGCATGAAGTGAAAATGGACGGAACTAAAAGAGCGACATAGCTGCACAGAAACTGCACATTGTAGACTTCGCTGAACACGATTGAAATTGTCACGCAGGACTACACTTTACTCTTACTTTATAAGACTGTCTTATGTAACGGTGCGATTTATTCTCCGGATTTTACGGTATTTTATATATATATAAGTATTGTTTATCATAGATATCATTTATTTTATAATATATCACAATAATATAATAGCTATTCCAACTTCCACAGTTGGAGATATGTATTAAGACACTTTAACTGCATATAATGTCGATTTTCATTTAAGATTTTTGTGTTATTTTCTGACCTTTGAATCAGTCATCTTTTTAGTGTTAGATTTTGTGGTGTAAATAACAGCTTGGGTAAATCTTTAGTTTGAAGCAGTATAGGGGTGAACTCCCTTTTTTTTTTCGTTTTCGGGGACCAGTGAGGGAACACACAGAAGCCTGGCTCAGACTGCAGGATAATCAGGCCGATTTGAGGTTTGATTCCTGCTTCCTGACAATTGCACGGCTGTTCCCGACTCTCCAGCTTCTCTGAACCGATTATCCGGTAGTGTGAGTCGTATAAAGATCCTATCTGAACGCCCCTGATTTGCTCAAAGAGCGTCGGGGCTGCTCCAATTTTTGTTTGATATGCGGCACTGGTGGCGCAGTGGTTAGTGCGTGCGCCCCATGTATGGAGGCTGTAGTTTTCCAAGCGGGTGGCCCAGGTCCTTTCCCGCCTGTCATTCCCACTTTCTCTTTCTCTGATTTCCGACTCTATCCACTGTCCTGTCTCAACTGTAATGCATATAACAGTTACAATCTGACCTCCTGCTCTCACTGAAGAACAGACAACCCATGTTGTCTGCGTCTCCCCAGACATTTTTTCACCCGTTTTTGTCATCTCTGCACGAAGCATTAAAATCACAAATTCGAGGTAACGTGAGGTGGTGCGTTGATAATCAGGGCACGATTATCTTGGTAAATCCCATAAATCTGTGATGTGCCATGATTTTCATATCTTGTAGTGAGTGCATGAGCAAGGTTATGGGGAAAAATATCTGTTAAGATTCTCCTGATGTGTGTGATGCTGCAGTCAGATTTAGTTTTCAGTATTTTTTCTAAATCTGGGCTAACGGATTTGGCCTCACTGTCTGAATCCCCTCTAGAGATTTTGTTTAGACGGGGGAACTTCTTCAGAGACAGTAACAAAGCCACGAAGATGAGAATACTGAAAGATCGATTTACTAGACTGAGAAATACTAAGAGACCCTTTAAGGCGTCAGCATTTAGAATGGATCTCTGTTAGCTTAATTTTAAGGTCATATATACTTGCAGTGTCTTATCGTCGTCTGTCAAACAGGTGGCATCAGCCCAAGTCTTTTTTTTAACACAGATGCCACTCTGCTTTATTTTTAAGATCAGAACTATCAATGACTTTTCTATGGTTGCAGACGATTAAAGCAAAGATAATACTTTCTCTTCCTTTGCTTGAATACTGCATAAACTCATTTTTGGCTTAAAACTCGGTGAAGTATCTGCTATTAAAAGGTCATATTTCATGGAAACAGAATTTTTCTTAGACATTAAGACAATTCTAACTTTGCCCAAGCTGGGAGCACATGTTTAGCGGAGTTTTAGCTATCATTTAGGGGAATGTTCAAAGTCGATTAGGGGCTATTTCTTGACCGAAAGACGTTTATCCTTACACCACAACTCCTAATTTTCTGTGTTGGTTCACAGCTCTGCATGGGTGACCTTTAACCTGTGTGTGAATCTTTTTGACATTTACAGTGAATAAACAATAACAAAAAAAGAACAAATGTCACCCTTTCTCACCCACACACCCCAAAAAAACATTTTTAAAGGGTTTTTAAAAAGAAAAATGACATTTCTAATCCTGATGGTTCGAGGTTTGACTTCAGTAAACCTTGGGTGGCTATATTTTCAGGAAAAGAAAAACTGCAATAATATTCCTAGGACCCTGGATCAATCTACCCTCCCTCCATTTTAACCTGGTCAGTCACAGAAGTGTACGTAGCTGTCTCCACTGCAGTGCGTATTTTGCGCTTGATGACGTACTTCCAGATGCAAAAACCCAAAGCGATGGCTAGAATAACGGCTGTGCTGATAACAACAGCAACAATTATTCGCAGTTCCACACAAACTCCTTCAGCGAAGCACAGCTGGGTGGTGTTGACTGAAAGGAGATCAATACAAGAGGAAACAGGTGAGGTTTTTTAACATTGAACGTGGCTACCACAACTAAAAACGTAAGTACCACATAGACAAAGTGGCTCTAAGATTCAATTCAATTCAATTCAAAAAACTTTATTTGTCCCCGGGGGGCAATTCAAAGGCACACAGAGCAGTAAATTAACAACAGTTCAAGTGCAAGATCATGGTAATGTCACTCTGTCAGTCCAACCTCCTATATTTAAACAACTCTTCTTTATGGTTTCTGACCCCCAATTTCCACATAGTCCGTGCACGCAGCGGCCCATCAGCGCCGCACACTACACTGTTGTTCGCTGCCACTCTAGTCAATGATTGTGTTTCCAAAGCGACTGCCGCGATCCATCTCCGGAGTGTGCCAGCAGCGTCACTACGCTCTGCTCCTTAGTGTCGCTACGAGCCGGACAGGTAGTCAAACAAGGAAACACACTGAGCATCCAATCAATTTCAAAATAAAACACAATATACAGACTCACAATCCTTTTTTCCATCACTATCAACATTACGTCAAAATAGACTTTGAATGAAGTTCCCCTGTGATGTGAAAACAGCTGCTTATGGCTGCGCTCAAATTCCAAAAACGTATCCAGTGGGAAAGGGAGCATGCCGTCCGACGGAGCAAAACTGTGGTACTGGACGGACTGAAGCGAACGCGGACTATGTGGAACCGATAAATCAGCTAGCCGATAATATCGGCCAATATTACCATATCCAGTGACTATCAATATTGGTTATTTTTAAGCAGATATGTGCGATATTACTAGATTTATTTACTGGTCAAATAGCATTTAATTTGAGTATCATTGTATTAAACTAGCAGTTCTCTTTCACCAGCAGAGGGTGCTATATAGATTTCAACAATCAAAGAGTTTCCCTTTTGCAGAAGCACAAACACTGTATAGTGTTACAGAGCACCTGTGTGCAAACACAGGTGCAAACAGTGTTTCATGACTCACTGCTACAATAACAGTGAGTCATCACTAGTGGTTTCATCACAGGTACGGTTGAATGTGAAACTACTCAGAGGGGATTTTATGAGAGGCCGAAAGATAACCTCTCCCTCTCTAATAATTATTGGAAAAACTTGGATGTGGCTGTTTTTCTACTCTCTCCCTTCTGTACAGAATTGAAGGACGTTAATCTGTAGACAGTCTCAGGAATAATGCGGCAATATGCAACTCTGACACCTAGTGTTTAAAAAGCGTACCGAATTTAAAACATTGTAGAGGGCTGTCTGATTGAACATCATATCAAAAGTTTTTTGTGCAGGATATGTTGTTGTTTTAATCGTTCACCCCCCCCCCCCTTCAAATTGTAACCCAGACTTAGAAAGCTGTGTATTAACAGGCGTTTTCCCCCTCGAGGCCTCCTGAGGCTGAGCTGTGGTTTTTATAGACCTTCAGTGATGACTTAAAACCACAAACATCATTGAATGTGTTAAGGAAACAGGTGTTGACTCACCAATCTGTGGTTGAGGTTTCTCCTGAAGAAGTGGAATGCTGCAGTTAACTGTTGGCAGGGGAAGAAATAATCCGTTACTAAAAAGTCATGACACCACATCTGAAACATTAAAGCACACACATCAAAATACACGTTTCTAAAAGTGTATAGAAGAGCTAACTGGTCTTACAACATAAGGGCCTGTGTCCACAGAGAGCGTGCCTTTTTCTTTACACACCCATGCAGAGCTGGATAAACACTGAAGCTTCAGTGTCCACCACATGGTGACCTGAGTGAGCATCCACTCTAGAGAGGGGGGGAGACAGCTCTCTATGATGTTCAGAATTTAGACTACGGTACCCATTTTAAACACTAGGGGTCAGAGTTACATACTGCTCCTTTAATGCATTAATTTATTACCTTTATTGCAACACAATAAACATGTTAAAGCTGACATCCCCAAAACATACAAATTGTCTTTTCTCTGTCGCGCACACTATCGTCTTTATGTGGTAACACTGCTTTAGGAGCATAAAAACTGTATCGTGTTGTGTATTTGGTTATTCTGCAACTTCAATACTCACATGAGCAGTTCACTTTCTCTCGGATCTGCAGGAAGGAAACAAACACACAGAGAGATCAAATATAAAATGGGAATAAAACAAGAACAACTGAGAGCAAAGATCAACAAACACAGTGATAATGATTTCATGAGCAATATAAAATCTAAATTAGGTTTGTAGGCTAATCTTTGCTTATAGATATTTGTACTGTTTTCCAGGGCCCGACCGATGCAGGATTTTTGAGGCCGATACCATTATCGATGTTTGGCAGGGAAAGAAATTGGATACCGATAACTTTCTTAGATATGTACAATCTGTAGAGATAGATGCACACATGTATTGTGTTGATCCCTAAAATGCAGCTATCAAACAATTGTGGAAAAGATTTATAATGAAGACAAGATGGCCACTCAACTGGAAAGTAAGTGAGCATGTACATACATCACCGCTCGACGCTCTGAAGAGTGATGCCAGAGAACTGCTGGTGTAATCCGAAGATACTCAAATTAAATGATATTTGACTGGTGAATAAATTTAGTAATATTGGTGCATATCTGGGATAAAATCAGCCGATACTGATTGTCACTGGATATGCTAATATCAGCCGATATTATCGGCTAGCTGATTGATCGGTTGTGCTCTACTCTTTTCAACATTTAATTGCAAGCTGCTCTGCAACGTTGGCCCTCAGGATAATAAAGCTAAAAGCTCTTCTTTTCACTCCTGTGTAAGTAGATAATTTTTAATTCATCGAGGGACTTTGAGGGTTTGATACCTTTATTATATTTTACCAATCACACAAAGTGTTTAGCAAGAAAACGTGACTGTCTGCCACAAAACACTCCCATGCTCTGAATCCAAATCTCAACCGGCTGGTTAGACAGAAATCTGGGGAATCCCCTCACATGTTCACATTCCTTTATTCAATATTTCTAATCTGAATGAAAGTTATTAACGTCAGGTGTTTGCATCGAATCTTGAGAATAAGATGTTCTTTACCTCTGTGCACTGCCACATAAAACGCAGGACGCTCGTGCAGTTTTTTAGTGTGATGGATGCCATCGTCACATTCAGTACCCGATTGGGATCGTGTTGGAATTGAAGGACGATGGAGGTCCCCTGAAAAATAAGCAGAGGCAGACAGCTTCATTATGAATGCAGATTTACTCAAAAAGGACTTGTGAATGAGATCAATGGTTTTGAAGATCTGGAGAAATATGTAATTCCTGAAACATTGCAATGAAATGACTTGATTTTCTTTCTTATACCAACTGTGTGGGGAGAGGGTGGCAGGGGAGGTCAGGTGAGCTTTTACAATCATCATTTTTCATTTCACTGTGTATTCTGAAGTCTTTAAAAAAAAGTCTGATGAGAAGACAAGAGATGGCAGCAGTGGAGTTGAAGGGACTTTCCAGATCATTTTGCTGGCAGAGAGGATTGCTCAATCACATCATGTTGGGCAGGAAGGGAAGTAAAAGAGTGACACCTCAGCCACTTTTTAACAGCATGAACTTACCCCTGAAACGAGGGACCCTTTGAGGAACTGTGTCCATTTGGACCACAGGAACTAGGGTCTAAATTTAGATCTAATGTAAGCCACAAATGCCACTGTATTTCCGGTGATCCTGTGTGATGCCGTGTTCAATCAACTGTGCTCCATTTTGACTGCTCTCTGGGTGTTTCTTAACTTTAGAATACTCATTTAATCTGGGAAAAAAATCTGTTCAATCAGGTCCAAATCAAAGTTTATTTAAAGAGCAATATGTAACTCTGAACCCCTAGTGTTTAAAATGAGTACTGCAGTCTAAATTCTAAACATCATAGAGAGCTGTCTCCCCCCCCCCTCCTCTCTAGAGTGGATGCTCACTCAGGTCACCATGTGGTGGACTCTGAAGCTTCAGTGTTTATCCAGCTCTGCATGGGTCTGTAAACCTTTCTGTGTTCTAACCTCTCTCCATTTTTCAAAAGCATCTCCAATATTGATCCTAGTTTGAGCACGTTTCTGCTCGTGGAGCTTATTAGAAACATGCAGAGGCTTTTTAGGTCGGGTACAATCACTTCTATCTGAACCACTTCTCTTGACCGCTTCCATCGCTGCAACACCTGTTGACCTGATAACTGCTCTCATATCTGACAAACCGAGGGGCGTCCAAAACAGCCGTGTGGGGGGGGGGTCTTAAAAGCGCCTACCTTCTCTGGTCCAAACAAATCCAGAGCATTCAGGAGCAGAATGTAAAGTTAGAAGGAGGACATACTGGCTGCTGCATTGTTGTCAGAGAAGCCAGCACTTCAACATGTTTCCTTAATGATCAGAGAGTAAGATACCTTTATCATCTCACTCTCTACACAGCTCACTGATTGGACCTTTATAGCTCCTCAGTTTTAAACCTATTTCTCTTGGTTACTTACATCTTCAGTCTCCCAGCTTCTCCTACAGCCAGGTGACCAGATCATAGGGGACAGCTGGTATAAGACGATGTCATCCGTTTGTCTGCTGGCGCTGCATGTTGGGTGCTGTTGTTCTGGTACTGCAGCCGAAGAACACTGGATCTTCATTATCATCATCATCATCATCATCAGAACAGAAACTGGAAGTGAAGAAGAAAAACAATCTCATTCAGCAGAAACATTATTTAATTGTTTACGGGTTAGGTAATACGTTTTAGGTACACCTGAACCCTGGACTGGACTCCGGAGGTCTAGGTGGGTCTTTAAAAACCTTCTCATGAATCATAGTGTGAGGTGGCCATCAGAGTGGAAAGGTACAGAGTTACAGGAGGAAAGGAGGAAAGGATCTAATCTGCAGAGAGAGGAAAGGAGATGAAGGAGAAATGATCAGATACAGAGTGTTTGAAAGCAGAGGAGTCAAAACTACAGGGAAGGCAGGGTGATAAAACCTTCCTGAGAGCTAAACTGTCAGGACTGTTCAGAAGGAGCTGCAGAAAAAGTTTGCATGTGTTCAGGCATATTTGTGGTTTGCTTTGTTTCACTTGGCTCTTTCCTCCTCGATTGCTTCATCGCCTCTAATCCAGGAGGGAGTGGAAAAGCTGAGTCATTTTAGCGCATTGTCTGATAAGGACGAGTGGAAAGGGAAAACGAAAACTTCCCATTCAACTGGCCCGCCCGAGCAAACAAACAACCGAGTGAGAACATCAGACTCTCACCTGAGAGGTCAAGAATATCTCATTCCACTTATTCTAAGCCACACTCCGCTGACGAGTCCGGGCTTACATCTTAAAGCAAAAAATAAATCCTGAATTGTTTGTAATGAGTGTGTTTACATGGACTTGAGTATCTCGGTTTTGTGTTTGTTCATGTAAACATCATATCCTGATTTCAGGAATCGAGTAGCATGTGGCATGTATACACTTTCACCATGGTTTCTGACAGCTGCCGACTACCTGTGCACCCGCTGTCTCTGGTCACTTCCTGTCAGCACCTCTGGTCACTTCCTGTCAGCACCTGTGTGTCTGATCAGACTTAAAGCTGTTTGTTTACACTTCCTGTCGTTGTCTCCTCCTCTCTAGATCCTTGCTTGTGTTGTTCTTCCTCTCTGATGTTCACTTTGGATAAAAGCGTCTGCTACATGAATTGTAGAATATCCAGATATGATCCAAACCAGGAGGAGACTCACAACCCGGATTCTCAAGTCCATGTAAACACACTGGATGATTAAATATCTGCCAGGAGGTGTGTGCTACTCGCCTCAGCCCGTTATCTCTTTTTTGTGGCCTGTGTCTGAGATTGTTTAAACAGCTTATTGAAGAGCTGATAACAGCTGAGAGGATTAGTTCTCTTTACACTTTAACTCACTGGAGCATGCTGAGTGATTTACTCACGGTGGGCGTGTTTGTTTTTGTAGTACATGTGTACCGATTATCTCGGAGGGCGTGTGAAGAAGGAAACCTGACCTGTAACTGCTCTGACCCAGATTTAACACGCTGTGAAGACAAACAGTAAATCAATGAAACTATAAGAAGTATATATTTAACTCTGGCTTCTTTGATTTGCAGCCGGGCCACATGGGAAATCGCAGCTGTTGAACTGGTTTCCTGTATTTCACAACAGACCTTTCGTTTTCCGCACATGCTGCTGTAACCGGAGAGTCACATGACTACATTACATCATGATTGCATCACACATTCCTCTGCAGTTACTATTCTTTGTTTTGCCTCCAAACTGCAGTTCCCATAATGCTTTGGGGGATGTACAAAGGAAGTGCGTGGTCCCAGGTAGCTGCTGGGGGGGGGGCAGGTTCTGCACTTATGATCACCATTGTTTTTCTGTTCATTCTTTGTTAGGTTTATGAACTTTTATTTACGCGCAGTCCAAACCGGTGCACATAAATGATGCCGAATGAGCTATTACTACTTCCTGTTTGCAGTGCACTCATGGACGTACGGACAGCTGAGACTGGATGTCTCCGATACTGAGATCAACTTCAAATCGTTACCATTCTCAGGCAGGTTCTGCAGTAATGAAAAGTGCTGGTTTTCTGTGAATATCAGGACGATTTAAAGTATGCAGAGTTAGCTGTAACTGGTTCCTTTATGTGGATGTACAGACGACTACTACTGGATTTCTCTGGTGCTGAAAAGGCTTAAAGTCATCAAGTGTTCAGGGCAAGTTCTGAATGAGGACCAGATTTAATATGAAGGTGGGTTTAGTGACTTTGGTCAGAAATTATGCACAGGGTTGGTTTCTTTTTTCTTTTTGGGTCAAAACATGTTCTCTCCATGATTTCTAAGAACTCCAATGAGACTTCCTCAGTATTAAAATGTTCTCAGGTGGCGTCCGTCAAACTGAAACTAACGCGTGACCTCTGACACAATAACACACACTTCCTGTTGTTTTGTTATTTTACTTCACATCAAAACAACTCAATGATTTTTCTGACGACCGCTTTCTTCCTTATTGACTCATCTGTCCTTTGAAACAACAAGCAGAGAGCCACACCTCTCTAATGAAACATGATAAGAGACAACATGTCAAACTGAATCTACACACACACACACACACACACACACACACAGACACACACACACACACACACACAGACACACACACACACAGACACACACACACACAGACACACACACAGACACAGACACAGACACAGACACACACACACACACACAGACACAGACACAGACACAGACACACACAGACATACACACACACACACACACAGACACAGACACAGACACAGACACACACAGACATACACACACACACACACACACACACAGACACAGACCCACACACACACGCACACAGTATATTACGTCAGGCAGGGTGTGATGAAACAGTGTGAAACTCGTGCAGAAAGCGTTATCACGTGACCCAGTTCCCTAGGCAACCGTTCTCACGGCTTCAACTCTCGAGAATCTTCCTCCATTCCTGCACTCGTCCTGAATCGACCTGTTCCTCCAGGGAAGTCCCGAAAAAACCCTCCCGTGCCGTTTCTCACAGACGCATTTACGGGAATACCTGACACGGTTCACCTTCAAACATTTTACCGATTTACGACAACTTTACTACCAAAAGCTTCCATACATAGTACATGCTTAGAAATAAAGAATCTATAGACGAAGCATTCTTTAGAGAAGTAACAAACAACATAAACATATACACAAATGTGTAGTTCAACTATCAGAGAGAGAGAGACTACTGATTATTATTGTAACGTAAAGCCACGTTGTTGTTGTTGTTGTTGTTGTTGTTGTTTTTGGTTTGAGGAGAAGGTAACAAATGTCATCACACTCACTCCGACCTGCGGGTGCCAGCTCTCCTCTCACTCTTTAATCACCGACTTCCTCTCAGTGGTGATTTGGTTAAAACGTTTTAGAAAGCTGTCCTCAGACTCACCGAGCAGTGGCATCAAAGTCTTCATCATGGTCGTTCAGGTGAAGGAATAAATAAACGTGTTCTCTCCTTGACAGTGAGGAGCGACTGATGAAACACACACTCCCTCTAATGCAGCCGACCGTGAGAGGATGCCTCCGCCTCTTGAGCCGCCCACACATCTGCAGCCAGACGGGAAGCCCCCAAGAATATAGATCTGGTTTCTCTGTTTCTCTGAATTAACGCGGGGAGCCGACAGGTGTCACAGTTTAACTGGTGTTGAATTTAAAGTGTTATTGCACTTCTGCATATCTGTTGAGCAGCAGCAGTCTAACTCAATCTTATCTCCATCTTAATCATTTGTAGATTTCAGTCGGGTTTTCAAACTGATTTGAGTATTTTTGAGGTCATGTTTTTCTGACTGTCGTTGCAGCTGCTGTATCTATAATTTCCTGCAGGGGTTAATAAAGTATCCATCTACCTAAGACTTACTGTGTTCATGGGGGTTTTGGTTGGAATGTGTCTGCCGATGGTTAGAATCATCATTAAGTCTTTAAAACGTCATGAAAGGATTCAACAGCCTGAACACACAGCTCTCTCTCTTAAATCAGCACATTACTTCATGGGGTTTGGTTGGGATGCGTAAAAAAGAAACACACGGGTCGTCTTCCTAAAACTTACCGACAAGGATCCGTTTCGGGAGAGTCGTGAACGTCTCGGTCAGGTTCATGATGCTGCGAGAGGATGGAGTGATGAGAGGATGGAGAGACGAGAGGATGGAGTGAGGAGAGGATGGAGAGACGAGAGGATGGAGTGATGAGAGGATGGAGTGATGAGAGGATGGAGTGATGAGAGGATGGAGTGAGGAGAGGATGGAGTGATTAGAGGATGGAGTGATGAGAGGTGTGTTCTCTTTAGCAGTTCTGCTTTGGGTTTTATGTATTGCGCTCCTTCGTCGACTCCTCCTCCTCCTCTTCCTGTCCTATCACGGGACTCTGCGTACACCCGCCCCCCCCCCGGAGAAATGGCGCGAACAGGTCATGTCCTTTTATGGCTCTGCACTCCTGCAGGCTTACGGGAGTACAGATGGGGAATAACCTGAAGAAAGGCGGTGGCTGCATGTGATGGGACAGCAAACAAACAGGCTGTTACTCAGTGACGGGCGGTGAGGCACTGACTTTTTCACAGTCAGATTTACAAATATATGAACCCATTTATAGAGTAGTTTAAACTCACCGTTCAATTGGCAGCTTGCACATTGAATACTGGTTGTGTTTCATGTCTCATATCAGCATTATGTACACACACATAGAGGGAAGGTGCATATTTGGCCAAGGAAGTTCATTACATTTATAGCGCCTCAGAATGTTTTTTCCATTACAATTCATACTCATTCAATAATAATAAAAGTATTCATATACTGCGGTGTATTCATGGTCTTACCTTTACTTGTAAACAAAGTCCATTCACCTATCCTTCTGGACTAAAATATCTGTGACTTTGTTGTAAAAGTCCTCATTATCTTCTTTTAGTTTGAAAAGTCTTCCATTATTTATCACTTCACGTTTTGATTGAAAGTCCAGTTTTGAGAAATATTTAAGATTAGATATAAAAATCTTCCTTTTCCATTTTTGCAATCAGAGCGAAATTTTAAAATAAAAATTCTGCATAGAAGAGGACCAACATCAAACCAAGAATAAACTCTTGACCCCTTCAGGTGAGGCAGAGGTACTGGCTGCCACACCTAATCTAAAGGTGTGTTTGGAGCTGTTACTCTGATGACAACAACAAGGTGTCATTTCTTCACACACGTGAAATACATGATTTATTCTATAGAAAGTGAGGACGTATAATAAAAGTGTCTACAAACATTACATTGGTGACAAACAGTTAGAAAGCAAAAGGCATACACTCGACCCAGCTTGTGAGGCGGAGCCGACCAGAAATATGTGAATTCAGTGATTTTGATCATGAAAATGATTGAAAATTTTGGAGTTGTACAGAAATAACATTTCACAGATCAGTAGAAAATATATATATTTATTTTATTTAATCATTACTTGTTTTTGTGCGGTCAGGTGAGGTGACCGCACCTGACCGCACGGCTCTGCTGTTACTGACCCTGACTGTGACTGACGTCACCATAATTCAGGTGATAAGAAAACTTTCCACTCTCCGCCTCTTAAGGGAACCCCCCTCCCCCATCAGACTGACATTTACAGTAATAGTCACAATCTCTGGTGTCAGCATGACAGTGCAGCTCCATGCATGCACCAGGGCTGGGACAAACATGGCTAACAAATCAAATCACAGTATTTTTCATTGAAACATGTTTTGCAGCTAGTCAAAGTTGCAAACGTTTTTCAGAAAGTAAAGAGATTCAATAAAACAGGTATGAGATACAGTTGTCTTAACATTCTTATAAAATGATGTGAGACAAATAAACATTTTGTAAAAGAAAAACCAAAGCTTGGAAAAGCCATTGTGAGTAAATGTAATATGCCGAGATGGGTAAGCAAATAGGATTGTTGTCGTATTCATATAAATACATGTACATGTCTTGATTTCTGATTTTAATCAATTTGTTTCCTCAATAAAATTATAGACACATTGAGAGTGATTTCCACTTTTCAGGTGTGAGCTGTAAACTTGTCTCTTAAAGTGCACTATGCTTATTCAGCATAGTAGCCAGCAGATCATGCAGAGAATTCCTCAGAACTCTTGTGACTGGGTGACTCATACCTGCAGGTGGATAGTTTAATGCATGTGGATAAACCCATGTAGGGTTCTTCTCTGTACACATGGGGGTCATATCTTTGGGGATTATGAAGCTCGACTGCTTAGAGCTCTCCACCGACTCTCTTTCTTGTCATACGTGATGCAGTGCCAGAATGATTGTGAGAGTTTTTCTGTTTAGCAGGTGTTTGTGGTCTGTAGCAGAAGACACGTTTCTCCCACTCGCTGCACGCCACATGTTGTAATCAGTCAGACAGTCGTGCTGCTGCCTTTAGTTGCAAACAGCCTTTGAATAAACTTTGCAGTGAGTGGACTGTGATTTTTCGACGTCTGACACAATCCACTTCCAAACGACTGAGGCTGGAGCTGGTTTGGTTTCCGGTCTTGGAATGAGGAAGTAGGCCAGCTGACGGTAAACGCCGCTTCAGTGTAGCATCCATTTTCCTGATTTACAGAATGAAACAAAGATAACGGGTAGTATCTTTGTGTGGTTTGGTCAGATTGTGATTATTTCCCCTGTCGGGGTTTAAAAATCATGAACACAATCAACTACATAACAAACATAAAAACAGCAACAGACAGAATGAGCTAATCTAAAAAGGTGTGTTTGGAGCTGTTACTCTGATGACAACAACAAGGTGTCATTTCTTCAACTTGACTCTAGACATGACGACAAACCTGCACATCATTAGTCTCAAGAAATAAAAAGGTGACATTGAGTCATGGTCATGGTGGATTACTGTGGTTGTATGAGAGGTAGTAAGAATCCAATAAAGGGTGGCAGCAATCACCTCAGGGTGTCGGGTCAGGACACTATTATTGATGCAAAGGTGTGAGTGAGGAAGAAAGATGGAAAATCCAGTTCCAGTTCAAGCCATTTATATAAATTTAGGTGAACAGTACAAGGCATGAGTTTGAGGCCTTTCCTTTTCATTAAATAATTGAACCTGTGTGTGTGTGTGTGTGTGTGTGTGTGTGTGTGTGTGTGTGTGTGTGTGTGTGTGTGTGTGTGTGTGTGTGTGTGTGTGTGTGCGTGTGTGTGTGTGTGTGTGTGTGTGTGAGTCTTTTAGTGAATCCAAACTTGTCTGGGCATGTCTCTCTCACTGCCATTACTTCTGAGATGTGCATGCTGCATTCAGGGGCGCTCAGACAAAGAGCAACACATTCAGGTGCACTCAGAAACGGGAGATGCAGAAGAAAGATTAACCTGAACAGGCCTTTTTTACAGTGGTAGACTTTGAAGCATGCATTTCATTTCTTTGCAGTTAGTCACAGGGATGCAGTTCAACTCCACGGGGACGTATTCACACACATCCTGAGAGTCCTCCCAGAGAGCTTCTGACTCAGCTTAAAATATCCTAGCAAGGATTTTTAGCCTCAGAGTGATTTAGGAACATCCTCGAGCGACTCTGAGCGAGGAAGGGACAGAAACTTTTATCGACCCTGTGGAGGTAACCACATGTAGAGAAACTCAACATCCATGTGTCACCTTGTAGTGAAGAAAGTCAGAGATGGATTAAAATGTCAGCATGAAACACTTTTGTCTGTTGGGCCCAAATATGAGTCAAAAATATTCTTCATGAAGTGACCCTGGTGATGTGTAAATTCAGGAAACAGACCTCTTTGTTGTGTTTGTTTCTGTGGTAGGACAAGCTCTGTTTTTCGATTTCTTGATGAGTAAAGTCATATATGTAGGAGATCAAAATCATTATTTGAGTCTATAGTTAGAGCAGAAGAAGAGCTGCAGCCATCTGTGGAAATCAGGAAGTACTTCAGCATGACATTGTCATGAGTCTCGGGAACCTGAAAACAGACTGCGGTAAAACTTTTTCTGAGAAAGCAGCACACTGACTGGAATGAGGCGTCTTCTCTTTAGTGGTACAGGAAATGAATTTGATGGTTCCCACCTTCATCATTTTGAGGCAGCTGCTCTTCTGATGCAACCGTGTTTTTTTTTTTTTCTGTAACGTGGCACGAATACTCTAATATTCGTAGTTGTAGACATTTCTGTTTGGTTGAGGTTTAGAGGAAATCTCTAAGCAAAGACTGACACAGGTAGATAAAGGAAACAAAAAGAGTTCAGAGCAGGCGGTGGAGGCAGAGAGACATGATGATATGATGACATGACGACATGATGATATGATGACATGACGACATGATGATATGACGATATGATGATATGATGACATGACGACATGATGATATGACGATATGATGACATGATGACATGATGACATGATGATATGACGACATGACGATATGATGATATGATGACATGACGACATGATGATATGATGATATGACAATATGACGACATGACGACATGACGACATGATGATATGATGATATGACGACATGATGATATGATGACATGACGACATGATGATATGATGATA